ATTTTATAGTAAAACAGATCTAAAGGAAAATTAATTTAAGCTATGTGGTTAAAACGCACTGAAATTCATTGTGAAGTTTCAGAGTTAAAAAGATAAAAGTGCTGCATTTGTATGATGCTGTTTATTTTTCCTTTTAAAAACATCAGAAAATACAGCTTCAGTTTAGATTAATGACCATGTTTTTTGCCTCTCTGTTTTGGCAGGTGCACAAAAAACATTATTTACAGTATTAAGTATAGTGTTTGTGTTTTTATTCCTAAAGCATCCTAAGAGTTAAAGTTAGAGGTGTGGGGTTTTTTTAATATTTTTCAGAAGGGCTGATTCTTCTGTGTGCACCCTTCATACCAGAACTTAATTACACAGATAAGCTATAAAACTTTGGAAAAAGCAGCTCCATGAAAATGGTGGCTGAGTGTTGCATGATTAGAGCCACAATTCTGTACTAGTGACAGGGTAGAATATCAAAGAGTATAGGCCAAGTAATTAACTTAATTTAGATGCTTTACTTCTTTTCAAACTACTAATATTAGCTGTTATGTTGCTGTTCTTATGTAGCTGAGATTTGACACTACTGTAAAACCAATGAAACTCCTGCCCCACACAGTTTATAATCTAATTAACTGGAAAAAATCAGATGCTGGTTTTATTGGCCACTCTTGAAGCTCTTATTAACTTCAGTAGCAGAAAGATAATAGGCACAAACCTGATCAAAACTGGTGTGCAAATATTTTTAAGGGCCAAGAGAAATGCTTCCCCCTATAAAAAAAACATATTGAGTTCTTACAACAGAAAATAAATTTGATCTATATCTTCTCTCTTCCACAGGCGGCTCCACTGAGTCTTGCTTCCTTACCCTCGGATCATAACCTTTCATGCTGACTCCAGAGTAACCCAAGGACACTGGGGATAGTCAGCAGGAGAAGAAAGCACAGGGTTAGCATCAGACCATAAACATATCACAGAGTGGGAGCACAGTCACTATCTTGGCTCTCCCTCCCGTACAATTCCATTAGGCTCATGCCTATCCCAAGACCTTCTGCGTGATTAATGTTGCTGGCCAGACCAGCAGGAAATCATGGGAGCACACAAGGCTGGCAGACACTCATAAAGTCTCTGCACTAGTGACACTAATAAACAGAAACACAGAAGGAAGGCAAACAATAAAAGTAGTACTTAAAAAAAGGATCAGTGGTTTGCACGGGTAGAGAAGACATCTATGCATGGCACAGGATGGGCACTGGAAGTGATGAAATGAGACAAATGTTTACATGGAAAGACAGACTAGTGTGAATTCCTTAGGGAACAGGAAAATTAGGGAGGCAATGATATAAGAGTTCCACTACTTTCCCAGGCAAAGCCTGTAAAATATAGTATTTGTTGTGCATGCATCAGGATACCTTTCCTGTGCCCTATACTGAATCTGCGCAATTCTGCTCACATTGTGGACTTTAGTCCTCTCCATCTCTTGGCTGGGAGGCAAGAGGAAGGAGGCAGCCAAGCCCAATCTAAAGCCACACACAGTGTGTTACCAGGTGTGAACACCTGAAATCTCTTTAACAGTCATTCTCAAACCTCAGAGAGCTTCTAGGGTCATTTACAGGAAGATTTAATTTCCAGATCACTACAACTACTGCAACTTTTGCTGACCTGAGCAATAAATGCCAGAAGCCTTCCTTGGTTTGTCATTAGCTATATCAGAACCTTCTCAAGGCCCAAGTCCCATACAGTAAACAGACATCAGGCACTTGAGCAAAAACTGAGCCAATTGCCCTGCAAAAGCAGAAGTTCAAACAATCCTCTCAGACTGCAGCAAGTAGTCTTCCATGCTGAATTATAAAATCTGTTACTATTCTTATGCCTCATCACAAATCCATTGCAACAAATCCACATGCCCATCGTCCAGCAACCCTGTCTTCAATGGCAATCCAATTTATCCACACACAGCATGTATTTTTAACCTTTTTTCTACTCTACTCTTCTCCCAGACTGATTTTCCTTTTTTCTCTTCTCAGCTTCTTTCCTAAAAAGCAGTCATCACTGGTATATGAATTATTTCCCTCTGCCCTATAGAGACAGAAGCAATATGAAATGTCAGACTGACAAGAACACTTTCCATTAAAGAGAAAGAGCAAAGAAACAAGCACTGGCCTGGTATTTTGTATAAATAATTTTCTTTCCTATACAAAAGGGGTATGAGAATGGGTATGCTGTCTTAAATACAAAGCCTAGCCATTTAAGAGTTGAAAAACAACAAATAAAATAATATTAAAAAAACCCAAACCACTTTACCACGGCTTATCAACATCAACACTGTTGTAGCCACAGTAAATCCAGTATACCATTTTCTCAGCCTTGCTTTCTGATGTTTCTTTCTCCAGCTTACAATGTCTTTAATTAGAGAACATAATTCTTTGTGTTATTTCTTTTACAGGAAATTTCTTGGCTCCTTGAAGACTGACTAAATGACAGTAATAACAAACCAACCAATCCTCTTTAACAGGAATTGCAAAGAAACCCTGTTGACTCAAACACACAAGAGTGAAAGTACATAACTGATTTGAAAGGAACAAACTGTTCTGTGGAGGAAGCACTGATGAGAACTGTTCTTTCTGTGAATAATGCTAAAATTCAGGATGAAGAAAATCCTGCTAATTGGCAACTCTGCTGTTGTTGGAAAGAGAGATCTGTTGGAAAATGCAAACAAAAGAAAGTGGAAAGAGCTGGCTTTATCAGATCAATGGAAGGGGAAGTATCTGAAATCTCACCTCTAGACTAGTTTGCTCTAACTTACGCCTTTTTGTCCACTGAATATGAAATCAAATTATTTACCCTTCTGGTTCTAATTTCACCTTTTATGGATGAGTTCCACTCATTCTAAACTACGTGTTACATACCCAGTGATACTGAGTAGGATTAATTCATGGTTTAAAACCGAGGTCTGGTCTGGTCAGAGATGACCCTGCTGTGTACCAGTCTAAATTCACATTCCTGTCAGTGTACATCAGCGTAGTCTATGCAGTCATTGTGGAGCAATTCACCTAACCCTAAATTATGCTGAAAATAAATGCTCTTTTGGATTTGCTTACTCTAAATACCAAGCGTAAAATTCACATATAGACATCTATTGCCATCTATGATACCACAGGATATCCCTCTGAACCTCTAATTGCTGGACCAAAAAGAAATGGGTCCTATGCCAAATCTGCCCATTTACTCCTGAGTCACTATGTCTTCCCTGTAGTGATGCAGAGAGGGGAATGGGAGCTGTGGTCAGTACATCACACATTGCCTCTGCTGCTCCTTTCTCCTCAGTGGAAGGACTCCTCACAGTCCAGCACGGGGTCTCTTTCCCAGAAGACAGACCTCTGTGAACTTCTCCAAAGGGAGTCCTTCCCACAGGCTGCAGTTCTTCATGAACTGCTCCAGTGTGAGTCCCGCCCATGCAGTGCAGCCCTTCAGGAGCAGACTGCTCCAGCCTGGGCTTCTCTCTCCACAGCTCCTGCCAGGAGCCTTCCCACAGGGTCACAGCTTCCTTCAGGCACCCACCTCTCCTGGCACTGGGTGCTCCCCGGGTTGCAGACAGATCTCTGCTCCCCCGTGCACCTCCAAGGGCTGCAGAGGCAGAGCTGTCCCACCATGGGCTGCACCACGGGCTGCAGGCAAATGAATCTCTGCCTGCCCCGCTGCCTGGAGCACCTCCTCCCACTCCTTCTTCACTAATCTCTCCAGGTGCTGTTGTGCAATTGTTTTATTTCCCTTCTTAAATATGTTATCCCAGAGGTGCTACCACCATGGTTAATGGGCTTGGCCTTGGCCAGCACCAAATCCATCTTGAAGCTGGCTGGCAGTGGCTCTGCTGGAATTAAGGGAAGCTTCTGGCAGCTTCTCACAAAAGTCACTCCTGTCACCCCTCACTACCAACAGATTGCCATGTAAACCCAGTACAGGAGAAAATACTGAATGGCTTAATAGAAGGGTCATATACAAGGTGGCTTGTACCATGTTTATGGACAGCAGTGGAAATGCACATATTTTAAAGAGAAAGGTCTGTGTGTAGTGTCTCTTGTGTTTGTGGCTTTGTGGTAGTAAAATAATAAAACCACTGCAATTGGCCTTTCTTCATGTAGTAGAGCGAACCAATGCTTTTTGAAGGCAATCTGTTACAATGTGAGCAGGGCCCACCAATTTCTCTAGGCAGTGGTGAGGCATAATTGCAGAGACTAATTCAACATACCTATTTTGAATACATATTTTAAGATAAAAAGAAGTAGCATTTGTAGGTGTATCTTTCTCCACTGACTTAAATGGAAGATTAGAATACTGCTTTCAGAAGATACATACTCCTAAATGGTTAAATGAGATGTAATGTATCCTTTCCTTTTCTGTTAAATTTAGCATATATATATGAAAAAGGGGGAAACAGAAGGAGGTTTAAATAGACCTAATACAGTACATCACAGGTTATTTTCCAGTTTCTATTCAAAGATGGATTTTACCCATGGTAAATTAGAACACTTTGGAAATTCGCCCATAACCTTTAAACTTTTCTGATTGATGACCATAATACACAATAAAGGCTTTTTATCAGTAAATTATGTCTGGATGGGAACCAAGCTCTGAATCCTACTCCTTCTCCATGCCACAACATTTTTGTAAAGATGAACAAACACATTACACCAAACCTAGGGCACAGAAGTGTAAACACCAGTACACTATATTAACACAAGGCAGTCCAAAAATAAGACATTTATAGCCAAATTATTTCTGAAACATGCAACAGCTGAAAAATGCAATGTCTTTACCTGGAAAGATACTGTATAATTGTAATCTATATTTAAGTGTGTTTAAAATTGATTATCAGTCTTTTATTTTTTTCCCTCTATGCATTCATGACTAAGAATAAAATGGAATTGTAAGTTGACAGTCTCATTTCAAAAACTTCTTGTGACAACTGTTAAAAGATCATCATCACATAAGCATATTTGAAGAAGTCAGATTACCTGAAAAGGCTTTTGTTATCTGGCATAATCCCTCTTTTCTGCAAAGAAAATGCTGGATTTCTGGAAGTAGGTTTACCTGTATGCAAAAAGAGAAGCCTTAGTGATTTAATTCAAAAAGTGTTCTTTTTTCTTCAGTGGAAAATGCCTTCAATGGGTTTGTGTTTAATTTATCAGAGGCACCTCATGCACAAAACTCCCATCAGTGTCAAGAGGAAATAATAACTTTGCCCTCCCTGCAATGTCAGAATAATGAAGTTAAGGTGTGGACTCTTCCTCCATGTTCATAACAATGCAAAATTTTAGGCCTATATCTCTCCTTCTGACTGCTGAGTGTTGACCTGTTCCCTGTCCCCTTTTCAGTCTCTGCAGCTTCTGTGTTCTGTTCAGTTACCAACCACTGTCCGTCCCTGCATGGAAATACCCCATGCCACTTGAATTGCTGTGCTTGGGATCTGTAGTAAGCTAATGCAGCTAAATCACAGGCAGGCCCTGCAGCAAAACACTGTGTATGGTATGGACATGCCAGCAGCAAGTAATATTAGTTCAATATTTAAAGTTTTCTGAGGAATGGGCCATATGGTTTAAGTCCCTGCCCTGCTGCAGACTTCCTGAGAGAACTTGGACAATACCTTTGATCATTTTGTGTCTGAATTATTAATGTATGACACATCTGGACACTGCAGCATGCTGTCAGGATTATTATATTGCACAGCATTAGAGGCTCAGATATGGTAATATAGGCAGAATGAGAAAAAAAACAGTTTGCAGAAGCCTGGGGTGCTTTATTATCTGAGCATATTCAAAGCATGTATATTTCTAGCAAACTATAACTGCCATAAAAATTTCACTTTGCATACACTTTGATATGGCATTCTGTCCCAGGGAACCCCAGTGTACATGCTCAAAGCTCTGCCTTCTGTGGACATAAATGGATTTTTTTTATCACCAGAGGCACCTTTTAAAAGCAGCTCCAATTCTCTCAGACCCTCAACCTAGAGTCAATAATTTAGAGTCTTGCTATCATTATTGTTTTAAGTATTTTTTTACTTAAAATATGAGTCAAACTGTATCTGTAGCTTGGTCACATTTTATCAAAGATTTCAGTTTATATCACTCACATATTTTTATCAACAGGTCAAGTGTTTACATAGAAATTACACCTCTAAGTAAACTAAACTATGCCCACAACAATCTTAAGTGAGATAAAATCCACAAAACAATCCTGAAAATACCAAGATAGTTGGGAATACTGATGTTTTGGACCATGAGGAAGAAGGTTGAGGTGCCAGAGCAAAGAACTGCCTTGAAGGCCCAGGTCCAAATTACACATTATCAATTGTAGGAGCACTGTCACTGTTGGGAGAAGCGCTTAAATTATCTTTACAAAAGAGGAATTACATTAGGTGAAACTCAGTAGTGGTATAAGATATGAACCCTAAATTCATCCATCTCTATCATTCTTAAATATTTCATGCATTTTCTAATTGTTTCTCACAATTTCTAAATTCTCTTTTCCAATAAGGAAAATTGCTTAAATAATTTCCCTTGACACTTTTGAGGCCAGACATGCTGGTTAGGGTAGCCAAGAATGCAAAAGTTCAAGCTAAAGAAAAGGGAAACTTGACAATGAGTCGTAACAATTTTCAGTATTTACACTGAAATACTTACAACCAAACTAACATACTATGTTCAAATGAGAAATTCCTTTTGATAACTGGATGTGATATAAAGAAGAATGAAATGTACTTGACAAGTATTTTTCAGTACATAGAAAACATGAAAAAACTTAATTTCTGCTAAACAATGCTGCTGCAGTATAAAATAAACATTTGATACTTCTCTTTTTATGAGTGAGAGCTGAAAATCTGGGCTAGCCTGTCTTTACATTCCCACAAAGGATAACACAATAATCTCATACCTTCTGGAAAAGCTCTAGATTATGCAAATCTTCTGTTTGAAAGCAGCCAGTGCCACCATTTTTTCTGGACGATAAGCAAATGAAAAGATCCCAAGGGTTCATACCACCTATTCAGAAAGAAAATAAACACTTTGAGAAAGAAAATATAATGCAATTCTTATTTGCATAAAAAATACTTAGAGTGATATCCTGAAGAACAGCAAACTGTTAGAGAGCTAATTACATGACCATCTACAGGTGGCAGAAGGATAAAAGACATATTTGCTATCACAGTTCAAGCTTTGGAATTACATTTAGGTGTTTCACAGTGGGCATTCCCTGTTATAGTTGCCTACTGATGCCCAAACCCTGCTGCTTGACATGTTTAACATTCAGAAATTAAAAAGTCTGATAACATGATGCAGCTTTAAGTTGTTCTTTTTATTTTTTTTCTGAACTCCTGAACATGCATGCTTGTACCACATATCCAGTATAGGCAATGTGATCTTCTGAGGTGTTTCTTTAATGGCAAGTAAATTTTGCAGGAAGTATTACTGGCCATGCTATTGCAAACAGCAGGAATTTTGGTGTACTGGATTCCTAAATATTAGACACCAGACTGCCAGAGTTAGATCTGGTGCACAAGTGAGGATTATATTGCCGGCTTCCAAGCTAATGTGATGCTTCCTTCCTAAGGTAAAGCTGACCTGAAGATACAAATAGACCTTGAACTTGCTCATATCTCAGCATGTGATATGGTGTAGAAATGCCACTGTTGCTTAAAAAAACTTTGGTGAGCTTCCTCACATGGTCATTTGTTTCCTTCTATATACGGCCTTTGTTATCTGGACCAGTCAGAGATGGTAGCAGCTCACAACGGAATTATTACACCTGTTGAGGACACTATGAATATATTCAATAAAGGGCAAATTATTTCATTGACAGGAAGACAATCAGTAATAATAACTTTACAAACAGAGAGGGCAGTCAGAGAAGCAGTACAGCATCCAAGGGTACAGAATCAGGTCACAAAGCTCCCTGCAGAACAGCTATTTCAGGGACTGGTTGGTTCTTTTTCCCAGGGTTGGGAACATTACATGTATTTTATTCCATTTTGTGCTATCCATCTCTGATACATTCTTAATTTTATTAGATTACCCCTTTAATTTGGTCCCACCAATAGCCCACAGAGGTATTCATTTTATTTACTTCCTTTCTTTCTCTCTCTAGAATGTGTTTTTTTTCCTATCCCAATCATGATTACAAATGTCAAGCAAGGTAAAGATTCCACTTAAGGAGATTTAACACTCAATTTATGTTAAGAACAGTAATGAACTGATTGTGTAGAATGGATCCAGGACTATGAAAGTAACTATCACTTCTTTATGTTTATAAGCAATGTGACAAAGCTGAAGAGATCAATTTTCAGTTACACTGCATTTATTACTGTAACAAGTCCTACAATTTCACATTATGAGAACCAGTATTATTGTATAAAAGTAATTAGGGTATATGAAATTTAGGCAAGACAGATTCACTACATGCTTCTTTGTGAAAGAAACAACAACAAAAAAAACCCTGCAGGTAGATAAAAATGTGACAGATAGCAAACAAACAAAACATTAAAGAAATGTACAAGCAAATACCTCACTTTAGTGAAGAAGTTTGGCAGTGCTAACAACCTACTCAATGACCTCACCAGCTATGTAATTATCAGATAAGCAAGACGTTATGCCTCTGACTAGTAAACACCTTTGAATAAATCATTATAATTACATATAAATCACAATGCCTAGTTGTGTGCAAATTGAAAGGGAGCTGGAGGGAACTCCATTTCTCAGAAGCAGTTCATTTCCTTCCCCTGTTTATTGTTACACATCCTGCCCTGGGAAGAATTTGATCCCTGACTCCAGAGAATATGCTGCACTGTGTATTTGCCTCTAGGATGCATCAGGGTGATCAATATGAATGCACCTAAGAGAAGAAAAGGAAAATGTACCCTCAGAACTGATGTGCTTCTGAGCCAGTGCCCAGGAAGTAGAATAGTTCAGGAGAGCTTGAATGTCTGCCATTACTTGTGCTTTCTATTCTGAGTAATTAAACCTCGAGCCAGTTATTTCAGTACAGAACAACCAGAACTGAAACACATCTATTTATAGAAGTCAGGAGACTTCCTATTTGAAAAACAGTGTGCACCTCGTGCTGTCTCTCAGATTCAGGCTGACAGAGCAGTGTGACTCCTGTTTAAATGTATAGATACATTCCTCATAATCTATACCTGAAAAAACATTACTGCAAAACAAAAACAAACGGGTCATGGATTAAAACAGCTATTTAGTTCTAGAACAGGCTCCTCTAGGAATCCATTTTGCCTCAAATTTGCCCATGTCACGCCTTCCAGAGCTTAACTTTTTGTGGAAAATAAACATCTATTATCAGGAAACAAACAGTCTGTTTTCCTTCTGCTTATTTAATAATAGCAGAACTATATCTCAGGAAAAAAGTTCTACCATTATTAGTGTTCCAACAAGGGCCACAAAGGACTGAAGATCCCTTTCACAGAACTTATTGTAAAAGTAAAGCAAGATAAAACACTCTACAATAAGAGAAAGAACAAAAGTGACATTAATAATAAACACCATCTGTATGGAAGGACTCATGGTTCAAAATGTTTCTAGAGACTTTATTAAGACGCTTTAATAATGTCAATAATAATCAATTTTCAATGTATACAGTTTTGCTGCTTTCCTGAATTCAAACCAGAAGCAGGCTTTTACAGGACATTAGAGGGGGAAGGTTAAAAAGAATGCTTCATATCTGAACAATTTAATTACTAGAAAATTGCATAAAGCTTTTCCCACAGAATGAAGTTCATCTCTAGTTATGGAAATCCTGTTTGCTTTATCCAGTAAACCAGTGGAGCTCAGCACACAGAAGCTGTAGATCAATTAGACAATATGAAATCACACCTCACGGAGATACTCTTCTACTCTTTGTATTATTTTGCACTTGGACAAGTAAGAGTGGTAACAAGACGAGAATATGCAACTGCATGTTCATGTGCTCTTTAAATATCTTTCCAAATCAAGATAGTTTAGTTCAGCCTGTTAATTAAGGCCTTGCAAATGCAAGCAATGCTCATTTGCAGAATTCTATCTAACTATGCAGGCAAATTGAGCTTTACGTGGATACATGCTGGCCGCATGATGCTTTTATTTACCTATCTTTTGCCAGCTCTTAGCCTCCCTCCTGCAGTCTTTGTAGCCATCATCCAGTCCCATATCAAAAAGTATTTGTACCTGCAATGTGTATCTCATGTTTACCTAAAAATATGAACCCAAGTTTCTACTTCAGTTAGTAGTAGTACAGCATAATTTGATTGAAATCTGATATGATCATCTTTTATTCTGAATGAGTCAAAGAACATGCAATTCAATTCAGAGAGTAATAACTTCCAAGTGAAATTTGATGTTATGTAAAAATTCTAATTTTCAATAAGATAGCACTGTTTTCATTTGCTTTGACATTGATTTGTCATTTGAAATACTTAAAATATCTAATGTGGAAAAATAATTTTAAAAATAATAGTCTAGGGAGAAAAGCAAATGTTTTGCAGCAGCAGAGGAAATAGCAATGCAGACACCAATAAGAACATTTAGCTTTTTCTGTATAATATTCTGCACAGAGTTTTTGTATTCTGATATATTAGACCAAAGTGAACAGAAAGCAAATGAGAACTGTAGGATTTAATGGGGTTTCAAGTTTATAGCTAAACTTCAAGAATTTCTGAAGTGATTTCTTAAGTAAAGTAATTTTATTCCAGTCCTTGAAATGACCACATTCTCCCCATGAGCTATAACATTGGAGGCTTAATTTTGCAGGAAAACTGTCAGATGCATGCATCTCTGGAATTTTAATCTCTTATGGGTATATTACATAATTTAATCAAATGACTAAGTTTCATGTCATTTCTATAGGCTGAAATTTCATTTTGCAGTATTAAGGTTTCCATTCTGAATTTTGAAATGAAAGAACTTTGAAAATCAAATGAAATTTTCATCTTTCATTTTATCTTCCTGTATTTCATTCATTCTGAGAAATAAAAAAAAAAGGCACTTGTTTTTTTTTTTTTTTAATTTCAATTAACCTTGAAATTAACCAGTTTATGAGCACTAGAGGAGAACAAGAAACAGACAGCATTTGTTTTTCAAGAGCATATTACATAAAAGTAGTCTCCTTTCTTCTGACAGAGTAAGTGATCTAGTAAGCAGAAATCAGAGTAACAGATTTAGTGAACAAAGCAAATATTAGCAATGAAACTATATGACTTTAGTAAGTCTTTAGACATAGTTGCCACATAACATACATATGAGGTGACTGCACTGCTATTTGAAAAAATGAAGTCTAATCCACTATCAAAGTGGATTTTTTTGGAGCAGAACCTCAAAAGATACTCTACTATACATTCAGTTCTGATTAATTTTTTTGGTAAAAAATTGAATAATGGAATAATAAATGCATTTATAAATAGCAAGTGACACCAAGTTGAAAACAAGTATAAGGACTTTTAAAAGCATGGTCAGAATTCAAAATCATTCTGATAATTGGTTCAAATTCAACCCAAGCAAATTCAAAACAAGTTAAAAGTGCCATAGTTCATAAGATGAAATAAAATGGAGAAATACAATTTGCCATAGAGCACTACTGCAGAGAAGGACCAAATTTATGAACTGCATAAGAACTAACAATATAGTATTGTTGCCAAAAAAGATCCCTCCAACTCTTGGAGCTCTTCTCCAAGGGACTCCTGGGATGATCTCTTCTTAATTGAGTTACACTGACACAGTTATGGGTGTTTGCCCCTCTGGTTGGGCCCCACAGAGGTCTCCCCTGATGGGGGAGACCCTCCTGTAGCAGTTCTGTGCCAGGAAAGAGAGATGCACGGGATGTTTTCGGTCTTCAGCTTCTTGTTTATTGTTATCTTATCAAAACTTCAGTATGCTCTCTGTACCAGGTTGGTAGCAGGAAAAGCACAGCAAAATGGCTACGAGAGGTACAGTTTCAAGGTATTTTAAAGCTGTTTCACCCAATTAAATCTTAAAACACACTTTATTTCCATTCATCTACC